TGTTCTATTCGTAACACTTATGAGGAGGAAGCCAAAGCTGAATTGCAAAATGCATAAAGCGATATACTAGTCATCTCAGAAAACGGACATGTCTCTTATTACAGAGAATCTTAGCTTACAATAAAGATACATGCATTGGTAAATTGGAACACAAAACAAAATAATCATGTTTAAGCTGATATTATTGATGAAAACGATGTAGATTGCAACCGAAAAATTCACAAGGACCGAGATTTATGTGTGAACATTTACCGTGTGCTAGTATATATTTAATATACTTATGTTTATACTCTTACAATTTATATATATTTTTCATGTTTTTTCAAGGAACTGTGGTGTTACATGTACATTGTTAATTAATGTTATCGGATTAACTTTGTCACATAGTAAAATCGATAAAATTAATTAACAATGTATCAGTACAATGATTTTAGTCTCTGATTTCTCGAAATAAACAAATCAAAACAAATACATACGAAATTTATTAATGTTCATTTACACTCTGCTTGATATACTTTTCACCAGTGGGTTTTCCAACCAGAGAAAGAGGAGTATGTACCGTAGACGTAGACGTTGCTGCTTCTTGTCTGAATCCAGACCTGGTTGTTCTTTCCCAGCCACATCGCCACGGTACTCCCACATTGTTGATATGTACTAGCGCAATTAGTACTGTGGTAGATACTTCCATTTCTTATCAAATGTACGTTGCCATTATAGCTGCTTCCCTTTCATAGGGCAAGTGACCAGGAAAACACATAAAGACCCTCAGACGGGCAGTGAAGCGGTAGTTACTGGTACTAAAAGCATTTCCATGATTTAAAAGCAATCTGTTGAAGGCTATAGTTCGGCTACTACTGTAGGTTGTGCGTCTTGATGTAACTGCAGTAAATGCAACATCATTTTTGTGGGAACCTAAAGAAATCAGAAAAAAACTAATTGGTTGTTTTTCAGATAAACAAAGCTTATTCTCCCATGCAAGGAAATATCCACCCTACGAGACTAATGCACACACTAAGAGTATGCCTTTAACAATGTTTAATATACCTGGTAATTTACAACTGGTTGATACATTAAAATTTCTTTTGCAAACTGCGTTTTAATCAATTGTTTGTCATTTTTATGAATACATTTTCTGTGAGAAATTCTGATCCCCCCCCCCCCCCAAAAAAAAAAAAAACTTTCTTAAAACTTACCCTGGATCACATTGTTCCATCTGATAAATAGTTATTGTTCAAACTTTTTTTTCGTCTGAGTGGGCATAAAACAAAGTTTGCACGAGAATTAAAATAACTGGTAAAAAAAAAATAGACACATTGTCATTTAAATCTGTGGAGAGGGCTTATATAGGCTATGCCTGCTGCCCAATCCATTTTTGTTTCAGTACATAATAAAATATGATCAAATCAAATCAATATTAAATCTTTTGAAATATTTCAATTATTTAGAACACGTCGTTGTGCATTTTGATGAGAGACAGTGCATGGGAAACAAACTCCAGCGCAAGAAGCATCTTGTATTATTTGCCGGCGTTTCAAAATTACTAATTAAATTGAATAAAAAATATTTTAGATCACCAGGGTACCGATATCACCGACTCTCGCTGCCAATTCTAATCCATGTTTCAAATTCCCAGCTTGTCGCATTAAGTGGGCCATCAAACTTCTCCCTTCCGCCCTTTTTGTCGAGGCCAAAATGCAAATCCATAAAAACAGGAAAACGTGCCTCATTTTAGCCTACGTTCTGGATTTAATTCCTACACTGGAAATTACAGATTGATAATTTTTTTGATATGCTTTTATGTAACATATGATAATTGCAATAAAATTTAGTTTGCCTTCATGTATTAAAAAAACAACAACCAACAAATAAACAAACAAAACAAACAAACACAAGATTACATGTAAATAATAATGTATACATGTAATTAGCATTCAAATTCAACTGGAGTCATACTCTCTCTCTCTCTGTCTCGTTATAAAAATATATACCAAATAATTAATTACCTAATTCTCGATGGAATGCCTATTAAACGCAAAAATAGATATTAATAGACCTTATACATGTATATAACAGCAGAATTTTAAACTATTGAACAGTACTTTAAGAGAGCATAAATCAAGCACTGCAGCTAACGGAGGCGTTCAACATGTTTCACGTACGATTTGTGGGTAAAATGCCTACCAATACTCAACTATGTATGTCTTTGGTATTGACAACAATAGGACATAGTATGCAGTGTACTTCAAAGCAACTTAAAACCTCTTAACATAAGCAGCAGATGTCTTGTAGTGCATTTTGACATTGGTTAATTTCTATGGGACCCCGTAAAAACATGGCAAAGTAAGCACTTCAGCATTTTAAGCACTGCAATATTTACAGACAATAATTACAAAATATATATAAATGGCTTTGAAAATAAATTTCTTCGCCACAGGAAAGGGAAACTTTATTTCAGTAGGATTTGATTCTTATATGTTCCTTTTCAATATAATTCTTTACAATTTTTCTTTTCTTAAACTTAAAAATTGTACATAATTATCAAATTTTATTGAGAAATCAATTTGAGTCTGCGCAAAACTAAAAAAAAAAAAAAGAGAGAATATTTTATAATTCATCTTTTCAAAGAAATTATATAAAAGGAATTCGCGACCGGAATAATATCATAGAATGATGTATTTTCAAAGACACATTAATTTTAAGGTAGGCAAGACTTTTATTAATATTTGTTGTTGCAGGATACGATATGATGCAACATTTTAGGATACTATCCTTTCTCCTGATCCTATGTATATGGAACAGCATGGTTTCTGGGAAAAGTTTGCTTGCAAATCTAATGAAACAAGCAGAAACCCTTCAACATGGTCTTGATTTAGCATCAAAAGTGGGTGATATAGGTAAATGTACAACATAATTCCCTCTCTTTGTTTAATAAATTACCGGTAATCTTTGTAAAATTTAATACTTAAAATATCAAAATTAAAATATAATCTAAAACAAATCCTGCAACTAGAAGTTGAAGATATTACAAAATCCTGATCCATTAAAAACAGGGTCACACAGAAATGATGTAGCATTCACTGCTGTGCCATCAAGTTCGCGGTCGTACAGCTCAGGATCTGTGATACGGTTTAATTCAGTCAAAATCAATCATGGAAATGCTTTCAGCACCAGTAACTACCGTTTCACGGCCCCATCTGCTGGTCTGTACGTCTTTTCCTGGAGTATTGCCACTCACAGCAGTTATTATGGGCACTCAAGGCTGATAAAAGATGGGTCAACATATCACCAGACTCACTGCCAGAGAACCTATGAGCAGTGTGGTTCTACCGTTACTATCTGGCTCAACAAAAATAACCAGGTCTGGATAACATCTAGGAGTTCCAGTTTTTATGCATATGGTACATACTCGTCCTTTTCTGGGTGGAAAATACACTAAATGTTTGAAGGCTTCGTGACAGCTGCTCTATTCCTGTTTCCCGGCAAAAAAATTAATAAAAAATATCTCAAGTTGAAACGTTGCATTTGATTATTGTCAAATACATGTAGGTATTAATTTTCAATAGTTTGAGAAAATATGAGGCAGGTACCATGAAAAAATATATTTTTACTTGAAAATATTCTGTCAGTGTACATTGAGAGGCCAACATTCACATGTGCAGCACAATATTAACAGGGTAAGATGAATAAACTCCCACCTATGACTCTATCTTGGACTTATGACTTAAATTTTACTACTTAGTATTTCATAGATGTGTTCTTTTTCACAATGCATGTAGTTTATCTTGCAAATGTCCTGGTGTAAACTAAAGGTGATTTTTAAATAATACACTGCATTTTCATTATCATCTACATATCAAGGGAGGTCCCAGGGATCTGAATCCTGGGGACACATACTTCACACTACAGTAAAGAGCTAAAAAAAATTAATTGTTCATGCAAACATAGAGTTAACTTACAGGGATGATTATTTTTTTATTTAATGATCAACTTAGCTCCTCTTCGAGGTCTAAACCCTGAAACAAGAGCCATGATTTACACTATTTTTAGTTTAGACCTAACTGCAAATCATGCAAACAGCATGCAAGATGTTGCAAGACATAATCAATGAATTCCACTTCAATAAGTGGGTTTTCATATTTAGGCGTCTTTGGTGCAGATACTGATAGGACTTCTGTAGCCCTAATTCATGATTATGCCAACCGCCCCACACCCAGTGAATGCACTAAATTTTAAATACGCCAATTTACATAAACGTACAGTATATGACAAACTTAACTCCTCTCCCTTTTCAATGTCTGGGACATTATTAGTTATCCAGGTTCAATCAAGGGTGTATGAAGATTTCCCAGAGTTTTATTCCATACATCCTGAGGCTGAAGGCTGAAGAGTGTATGGAATGAAATCTGGGGTAAATTCCCAAACACCCTTAATTGGACCTGGACAACAAATTTATTTCCTATACAACCAAATGAATTCTTTTTACACCCAAGTCCAAACATTGGTGTTTCAAACTATAGATAAGATTTATTAAGTGCTACAATGCATCGTGACGTCATGTTATTTGCTTTTTGTGATAGAGAAACTATGCATTGTGACATGTTATTTACTCCTAGCTCAAGTTGAGTGTACGGAAATTTACATCTGTCTTACAAACCAATCAATTCTTGTGTTACAACTAAGACAGCCTAAGACCAAGACTTTAATCCTGAACCCAGGGAGAAAAAAATCATAGTTTTAATAAAATTTATAAAAAAAAAAAATTGTTATCCTTCATCCATTGATGATATTTATTGTCTACCGATAATTGAAAATGGCTCAACTTTTTCAGAGAGAAAGGTGTAAATATTGAAAAGTTTATGAACCACTCAGAGTGCAAACTACACATTGACTGATGAGAATAGATAGCAATAGGTCACCTGAGTGTCTCAGGTTTATGTTTATGTTTCACAATATTAAGACCATGGAATGTGTTCAAAAAAGATGAATTCAAATACAGACATAAAATTCTCTAATACTGATATGCTATCAAGTCAAAACATATTAATACATGTTATACAAGAACACACAATCTCTTGATATGCATGATATATGTATATTTGATATACAAGGTATAGGTATATCAAATGTTCTTTGTTTAAGTCAGATTCTCTCCACACACATGGCAATTCCCATCCCCCCTCCAACACAAAGAGCTGCCACACCCCTTTTTTTACCAGTCCTTTTTAGGGAATGTAGCAATGTCACTAGAATTCTGGCTCCTGAGGCTCCTATTGGGTGTCCTATAGCTATTGCTCCACCATTAATATTAACCTTGGAAAATGAAATATTTCTGCATTTTATTTCTGCTTTTAGAATATACAATTTATCTTATTTAGAAGGGACCATTGATTGAGAGCTGTCTATGTATTAGAACTATCTAAATATTCTTCACATTGAATCACATCATACTACATGTAGTAGAATCAAGGAAAGCATAGTGAAGTAAAAACACACCTTAGCTGGATCACAGCCAAGTTGTTTGACGACAGCCACAGACTGGGCAGCAAAGGCTTCATTGACCTCAAACAGATCTACATCATCCACTGTCCAATGGGCCTTCTCCAGCTTTTATCAAATTTAAAAAGTGAAATTATATTGACTTGTTGCTTTTTGATTTTCCCTATTACAGTGATATTTTAAAATGCTTAAATGTATTGGTACATGTATTAGTGAGATACATTTAACTTTGCTTCCATGTAAAATAAGGTTCAACAAATGCAATAAATTTGTAGTTGGCTCTTAATATCACATTTTAGCTTACTGCTTTCCTAGTGGCATCTACTGGCCCCATGCCCATAATAGCTGGATCCACCCCCACCTGTGCCCAGGATACAATCTTACAAAGTGGCTGTAATGACCTAGATCTAGCTTCATCTGCACTCATTAACACACAAACAGCTGCTCCATCATTTAAACCTGCAACCAGATCACAATTCAAAAACTTAAATCTAAAAGGTGATATGAAATAAGTTCTTAGAGTTCTTCAAAAATAAAAAAAAATAGTAAAATAAAAGTTATATGGAGAATTTTCAAAGAACACATGTTGCCTGCAGCTACTCCAATGAAAATAAGTTTAGAAATCATAATGACATTTTATAATTATTTAAAAAGGACTACACTATATGTTTCAAAAAAAAACCAAAATCTTATACAGATCTTCTTTAAAAACCCATCAGAAACATGTTACAACATGATGGTACTAGACAAAGTGATACTTTGATGTCTGACATGCTACACACTGTAGGTAACAGAAAAGTCAGGACTTAGCTTGCACTTTTTTGTTGTGTAATTCTTGTAAAATGAGAAAATCTACCTGATGCATTTCCAGCAGTTACTGTTCCTGACCCATCTTTAATAAAAGCTGGCCTGAGTTTCTGTAACTGTTCTATTGAACAACCATGTCGTGGAAATTCATCTTTATTTATCACCTCTGTAAGAGAAATTATGAAATTTTCAATCACATTTATTTCCTCAGTTTTTTTTCTAATTAGTCAAGACAACATTTGTTAAAGTTAACCAGAATGACAGCAATTATTCCTTTTTTTTTTTTTTTTTTTTGCTTAATATTTAATATGCTAATGTCGTCAAAGGTTTCATGTTAAGGATATATGTTACATGAACATGTATCAGCATTTTGATAGCAGCTTTTTAAATTACTAATAATCAATTACACTTTAAATTAAACCTACAAAGAACCTCTTATTTATCATCTTTTGATTCTTAATTACTTTGATATAAATTACATTAATTTTACCAATGTTAAATACCCCCCTCCCCCTCCAAAAATAAATAATAGTTATTTCTCTAATACAACATTCTTTTGTCCTAGCCAAATACAACTTACTTATTCCTTGTCTGGTTGCTATGGAAACAGGAACTATTTCTTCATCAAAATACCCAGCATTCTGTGCTGCCTCACATTTCTGCTGAGAATTAACTGCAAAAAGGTCTTGTTCTTCTCGGGATACATTATATTTCTTCGATACATTTTCAGCTGAAAAAATTCAATTAGCGCATTGATGATTATGCTTGAAAAGTATTTTAAGAATTCATATTTCTTTCAGATAAAGAATTCGAGCTTTGTCTACTTTAGAATTAAAGAATTTCTCCTATTTTAAAAATATTTTATGGTGTACAAATTTACAGCAGCTAGGTGTAGAAAGGGAGGTAATCAGTAAAAGTTACAATATTCATGAAATGATTTTTACCTGTACAGAATTACCTTTCTTCAATATACCATATAAATAGACAGATCTTTAAAGACTCAAACTTATACATTCCCTTTAAAGACTCAAACTTATACATTCCCTTAGAAAATTTCATTAAGATTTTTATTTTCAAAGTGAAGAATTATTTTTGTTCAAATTATTTTCACCTGTAATTCCCATATGGTATTGGTTGAAGGTGTCTATAAGACCATCTGACATCATGGTGTCTGTGAGTGATGTGTCCCCAAATTTGACTCCATTCCTCATGTGAATGCAATGTGGAGCCTACAAAAGCAAAGGAAAGTAAACAGAAAACTACAAATGAGCATTTTTTCATAAAGAGAGTGCTACATGAAAATTAATAACCTACAGAAGGTACCCATAGGTGACTATACTTAACAAGTACTAAGCATAAATCTACATGTACTTGTATTTCTCACTACAGCAACTTACATGTAACTACATGGTTTAATTTTGCTCAAAAGAATTTCCTTCGGTAGTATACCCTTACTGAATCAAAGATAGTGTACACTTCTACTTTTTTTTTAAGCCTTAAAAATTTGTGACAATCATTCAATAACTTACAACAAAGAAGAAGGAAATACATTTTTTTTTTTCTTATGAATAAACAAGTACATTAAATTCTCTTTTAAAAGTACTACTCTATAATACTTGCTAGACTCATATTTTCTTGACCCCCAGCCACTACAATTTGAGCATCTCCTGTCTTGATGGCCTGGTACCCAAGAACGACTGCCCGTAAACCTGATCCACAGAGCATGTTAACACCACAGGCAGGAACATGGATAGGGACCCCTGCATTGATGCTGGCCTTCCTAGCAGGGTTTTGTCCCTGACCTATCAGATGAAAATATGAAGAATTCTATGTTATCTGCAATATTTTTCAATATTCTGCATTTATTCGTTAACAAAATAAATTGATAGATATTCAAGGTAATAATTAATAAACTTGCATATAATTATGTGATGATAATTGATCACATTAAGTATCATTCACATATAGGTCCTCTTCTTTTTAATTATTGTCCCTAATGTGTTGCTAATGAACTTCAAAAATAGCTTACTAACAATATTTTGAAGATCATGAATGATAAGGAAAATTTGTTTGCTTTCATAAAATGTACCACTCTTTACCATCGGCTCATGCATTCACCTCTGTCGCTGGCTCGCGTATATCACAGTGATAAGCACAAGAAATAGTGCATTTAAAAAAATCATTTTAATTATATAACTGCACTAATGTTTGTCTTTAAGGTTGATATATACTAAATAGATCTTAAACTGTTAGTTGAATTTGAAATAATCCTTGGAATAACATGTTTTTTACTGTATGTCAAAAATCTTGATGCTTCAAGCCCATTGCAGAGGTGTCTGAGAGAGTAAAGATAAACAACTCCGCATGGCAGATTGAAAATGTACATTACAGTATTTTCTGCTAGGAATGCATTTAATTACCATATTCAAGGCTTATAATTAAGTCTAAGCATAAAAAAATTGCAATTTTACAATTTCTATAAAAACAAAATTAATGTATTCCATCCATTTACAAATGCATGCAGTGCCAACTAATTTGTATTGGAAAATACATAATTAATCTACCTGCTGTGAGAATTTGTCCTAAAATGACCTCTGACACAGTCTCTCCATTGATGCCTGCACGACCCAGAGCCTCCTTGATACAGAGAGTCCCAAGGTCATGTGCGGGAAGTGTGGATAATCCGCCATTAAAAGACCCTACAACAATTAAGATATACATGCAGTTAGTGATTACATAATAAAATTTAAAATATATAATATTATTATATAATAAAAAAAACATAATATTATCATATGTATTATATAATAAAAAATATTCCTACATTTTCATCCCCGCTTACCCAAATTTTTATCCCCTGCCTTGTCATTTTTTCTTTCTGTCTTTATATATATAAATTTAAACACTGTTCTAAAAACTGCACTATCTAGACTCTTTTACTGAAATGCAACTAACAAATAGCATGAAGTCTGATCTGTGTCTCATGCATGTTTGAAGTCTGAGGAGGTGGATCAAAGTTAAAAGTGTAAGTTGTGTAAAGGTTTTTGATGTTACAACTGAATTTAACTGTTTTTGCCCCAATGTTGCACAGTAAAACGTAAAACATATTATACTTGTATTGTACATTACATAAGTAAAGCCATGTGTTGAGGCACAGACTTGCTCCCAGAGTGTAAATTAAATTTTTATTGTCATTTAACAGGTCTAACTTAATTTATGATTTTTTTTTTCAACAATAATTTTTTACACTCAAGAAACAAACACTGAGATCAGTTTTCACAGTACATGTAATATGTTATGATTATAAAACAATCTTATGTAATTATAAACAAACCAATAAATATATAAACTCTATTTATTGGCATGTAAACTTAATGTTAAGATTTTGAAAAACAAAAGGGTTAAGAATGGTTAAATTAAACATGTCAATTTCACATCAGCCATTTTTATAAAGGTCTAAGTGAAAGGTTTGACATACCATATTGAATATGGCTAAAAATATTTTATTTTTTTGTCTACATTTACCATATTCGTGAAAATACACTACATGTTGGAGATAACATTGGTCAGGAGTGATGTACATGTATTTACATTTAAAATATGTTATAATAACATTTATTTATTTTTTTTCTGTTGTCAATACTTATCTTAAAATAAAATTTAAAAATATTTTATATCTTAAAAGCTACTTTTTTTATGTTTACAAGTTTAAGAAAAAGAAACAAAAAACTTTATCTGGAGACAAATTTTTGTTAAGTAAGTTCACATATTGCACAGGGCCCTGGTGAAAGACTTAGGATTCATTGGACGTAAGTACACAGATGCGATACACATTCTATTTAGTGGTCTTATATAATCCCAGTAACTGCAATTTTTTTTTTAAAGTAATAAAAACAATGTTGAAGTTGATAACTAAATGAAGCAAACAAGAAATATATTTTAGAAATAATTCAGAGTAATGGAGCATTTTCCGCTTATGGTGATGGAGTTTGGGTAGTCTGGGATACTGTGATGGAAATATTTTCCTATTGAAACATGTTATTTTTATCTATATGTAAAATGATTGAAAAGTAACTGACATCACATGGTTTTTTTCAGTGTATTTAAATTACAAGTAATTGAAAAATGGTTAATTACAAATTAACTTCCAATTACTTTATGAAATCTAATCAATTACAATTGTTTTTGTTTTCAATTACACTATTCCTACAGTACAAACGTAAATGACATTTTCTATGACCTAGTCAGCAAATACAATCTATCATTAAGTCAAATGCTGACTGACATTTTTCATACTAATTGTTAGGCCAATATTTACACACTGAATTGTGGAAGGATTTTCCGCTATTTCCCCATCATAACGATAAGTACACAGCCGGAGTGACCGGTCGGAAGGGAATGCTCCTCCTCCATGGCACCTGATCCCACCTCTGATGTTTTAGAGGCTGCTCTTGATTTGTATTGTTTGAATGGACTTTTGAGCTTGAATATTGTTCGTTACATGTATCTCCATATATTTCAAAGTGATAATTTGGAGGCGTATTACGGTATTTGGTATATTTTCGATATTTAACAGTATCGAACTGAAAAAGAAGTGGGAGGGCTACCTACCAACAGGTGTTCTGACTGCAGCAACGATGACAACCTCCATCAGCTCTTACTTTCACTTTAAGATCTACGTTGACTTGACGTTTGCTATGAAGAAACCAATTCACTTTAGGATTAAGCGTTTTAGAGATTTGAATCCTCAGCGCATGCGCATTGCACACTTCCTTTTAAAATTGTCGAAAATGGTAAATACACGAGAATTTCACAGTACATTACAAATCTGAGGTCATCATGTTGTAAAATTAATATGTTTGACCCCAGATATAATCATAACACATTTTGTAGCTTTTCATGTCCAATTTAGACGATATATAGAAATGTTTTCTGCCTGCATTTCAGAGATATTGTTTTTAAAAGGGCTTAGGTATTTTTAGTGGATAAATAATCGTAAAAATGTAAGAGAGTATTGCATATATGCAGATCTATACCATAAGTAAAGTTATTTATTCCAGGGATTAATCTAAGTTTTGTTTGGGACAAACCCTTTTTGAATAAATGAATCCTCTTTGTACAACATGATGTTTCAACGAAAATTAACTTCTTCTGAAATACATTTGACATTTAACAGGGATAAACATTAACTCTTATATTCACTTGTTTCCGACAAGTGATCTGAAGATTTTACCTGCCCAAATGCAAAACTTGGACGCCCAAAATTAAGAAAGAAGAAAATGGTTAAAACTGTTTATCACTGTAAATGTTACATGTGATAGAAAAAGCAGGGTTCGACACAAACGTTAGTCCGTTAGTCTCAAACTAATAAAATCTGTGGCTAATTAGTCTGAACAGACCAGTAAAAATTCCTGGAAAACAATATGAATAATTTACCAATTTCCGATTCTCCACAACTTTTACCGGAAAACCCCGATTTATTTTTAGCTTTCTAGCTTCTTGGCGGGTAGTTAGACAATTTCGAGTGAGTGCTTAATTTTTCGACTGATTGGTATGATGTAAAACGTTTTAGCTATATGACACATGAAAGAAAGATGTCAGACATTTTGGATGTAATGTAAGAGAAAAAGAACGAGATCGGGAATACGATCGTACCCGTTGATCATGAGATTTCAACGAACCCGTGCTGTGGAATAAACCCTTTCAAGTAAATGCTTTGTTTATTTAATAAAAGTATAAATTAAAAAAAAAAAAAAAAAGACGTATATTGAAATGTTTATTTTTAAATTAATGTTGCAAAATATTGATGTTTCCTTTTTTTGACGGACTCATAAAATTGCATGCGGACTAGTAAATGTAAAGAAGCACTAGTCCGGCCGGACTAAAGCCTAAAAAAGTTAGTGTCGAACCCTGAAAAGTGTGACAAGATTCACTATTTTGCAAGTTCAGATATCAGATAAAAATTTTGATGGTATTCTTAAGTACATAAATGTATGTCACTTAAACATGTAAACACACACAACCATGCAGCCATACCCCCCCCCCCCCCCACCACCACCACCACCACCACCACCACCCCATTTCCTTTGTATAAAAAAATATAAAAAAAAATTTGATGGGATCCTTTTAATATGAATTCAGGGCTCGACATTAACGCTTGTCCGCTTGCCCGGTACCAGTGAAAAAAAATTACGGACAAGTGAATATTGCTGGGCACTTGTCCGATGGGACAAGTGCATTTTAATGTAAAGGAGTCTTTAAATAATAATAAGATAATCGGTAGTTTCAAAACGGAAGCTGTACATAAAAACCGGACTTCGATCCCGATAGGGATCGCTATTAATTGAGTTCACATTGGATCGGAATCGAAGTTCACTAATTGCATACCATTGAAAAGGCATGGAACTTACGAACGTAACGAAATTTGGTTCACTTGTGGACATTTATGTTGATGTCAGGACAGAAAGCCTAGATAAAATTTCGTTTTATGTGTTTGTTGTAAATATCAATAACATCGCTAATCAATCAAGCACATGTCATGTGTAATGGACTTTATTTTAGTTTTCAAGTTGACAGTATTAGATCTTTATTGAAAAATTTTCGGACAAGTGAAGTTGAAGTTCGGACAAGTAAATGTCTTGGTCACTTGTCCGAATGGACAAGTAGGAAAAAAGTTAATGTCGAGCCCTGGAATTTTGATTTTCCGATAAAACTGTGAAGCAATATGCTAAAGGAAGACAGTTGCTATAAAATGCACATATCTTGATTAGGATATGTTATATTTGTATGTTACTTATATTCTGTGAGTGAATTATGTAAATAATCTAATTTCCATACTAAGTAGGTAACAAAGTTGTTAGATGTAGAGTGTATTAACTATGAAAGAAAACAGAATAACCAACCGGATTTTTAAATAAAGTTATAATTTAGAAACGCTGCCAAGTAGTGATTCAGCAATAGTCGCCAAAAAATAATTGTTGAAAGGTTGGCAATACTGACAATCAATAGCATAGCAGCAAAATCAATAGTCGCTGTATATAAATATGTATATCGTGTATATAGCTACTTTAAACCTAATGCTAAATCTTATATTATCTTTTTTTATGTGGTGTGTGTTTCCTTGTTTTTTGTACAAAGAAGACACACTGATTATTTATTTATGTTTCAAGGGAGGTCCTGAGTTCGAATCTCGGCCGCGACTGACCTAAGTCTATAAATAATGGGTAGCAACTGTTCCTTCGCCATGCGCTCGGCACTTTGAAGTGAAAGTTGCGGGTTCTCAGATGAGACCTTAAAAACCGAGGCCCCATGTCACGGCAGGCGTTGGCACAATAAAAATCCCTCACTGCTCAATGGCCCTGAGTGCCGAGAAAAGGTCAAAATTTGAAGCCCTTCACCGGTATATGGTGATGTCTCTATATGAGTGAAAAATTCTCGAAGGGGACGTAAAACAACATACAGTCAATCTTACATGTGAACACATATAATGAATTTTTGTTCATTCACCTGTACTAAACAATACATTAAATATACTGAGTCAGAGAATAATTCATAAAAATGCTCTGCAAATTATGATTATAAGTATAGCTTCCCTAGATAAATGTTCTATTGTCAAAATGATGTCCTGTGCATATGGAGTCGGTTTTTGCTGAGGGCCTGTTCCAAGACACAGAAAGATGATTCTAACTGCAATTTTCTTAGAAAATGTCATATACTGAAAATGTCATATAGTATATCAACTACAGTATGTAAATAGTTATTGCATATCAGCAAGTAAATAATGAATTTGGACATGTAAAAGTAACACTTGTTGGAAACTTGTCCAATGCACATGCAAGTTGATATTTTAGTTAATGTTGTACCCTGGGGTGTTTTTCTTTTAGGTCAGTTTGCAATATTGTCAACAACGCAGCTATTTTAATGAAGATTTATATATCTTGCGAAATAAAATTTGTATTTAAATAGTAGAATAAGCCAAGGGTTTTTGAAGAGAGGAGCATATCAGAAATGCACAAATAGTACAAATGGGCCACACAATCATTTGTCTTTAAAATTTTATTATCTGTTGAACATTGTACTTACTATATGTACTTACTATATTTATTGTTTTTTAGGTCAACGTACCAAAATCAAGGAAGACTTTCTGCAAGGGCAAAAAGTGCAAGAAGCACACCCTTCACAAAGTCACCCAGTACAAGACCGGAAAAGCCTCCCTCTATGCTCAGGGTTGGTTGTCATTTTAATTTTTTACACTAATTTTCAGAAATGATCCTATTTTAATCAGTAATTATACTCGTAAATTAATCAAAAGATGTGATAGGCCTTTTCCCCTTGATGATGGATTCAACATTAAAATACTTTTGAAAAATATTGGTCATTATTACAGTCATTGTCAAAAAACATAACTTGCCAATGGATGGGGAAAAAAGTTTGTCATCTCATTGAAAGCAAGTGGAGATCTTATCAGAAGGATTTAAAGTCTACAATGTCTAGAGAGAAGGAAAAATGAAGTAGTCAGTGATTCATTTTGATGTGCGTCCTGCGTAAATTACGCACAAATTTTGCTCAGGATGCATTATTTCAATAAATGTGCATCCCAATGGACGCAATAAATTTATAGAAGGACGTGTACTATTTTAAATTATATCGGTATAATCTGATTCAAAACTTGACCGATTGCATCATATCCACGTGCTAAGCGATATGCATGAACGATTTTAACAGGTATAAGGTTGCCAACAACAGGTCAGATTTCACAACTGCAGTTAAAATCAATTATCAGAAAATATTTGAAAGTTAGATAGCATAGTTCGATTATCACTGATTATGTCTATACCGTGGAACGTTTCTGAAGCGAATACTATACCTTTGTATTTAAGCTGTAACCTGTATCATTGGTTTTTTTTTTTTTTTTGTTTTTTCTTACAAGCTAAGAAGTATAAAATTTAATCATTTTTATTTCTGGCAATTTGTCATTTCTTCTTAAACTTTTTTTACTTCATTCTGCTTCTGTGCATTTTTAGGACTGATACAATGTGTGAGATCGTATGTACGATCTAAAAATAGAACCAAAGTGCACAGTGGACAATATATTATTTTTATGACACAAAATCATGTACTCTTACTTGGACCATTAATAGTAAAAGTATAAATCATTCAAAGCTACAATAAAACATTTGCACTTTCGTGCAGTACCTTTTTTATTTCACCAGAATTTCCTGTGTAACATCTAATATATGGTACCCTTGGATTTGGACGCATTGATTTCGGCACGGGACTCATTGTTGTCATTAAGAGGGGTCCTTTGGACCCATGATAACCATTTTCAAAATGAATCACTGAGTAGTTAAAATTTACCGGTATATGGATATTTCTGTTGCTAGGAAAAAGAAGATATGACCGGAAGCAGAGTGGTTTTGGAGGTCAAACAAAGGTCATCTTCAGAAAAAAGGTTGGTACCATTCACATTGTTTTTAAATTTGTAATAATTATATGTACTAGAATTCTTCAAGATATTGATAAAGAAGTGTTCCCACTGTCATTAGAGGACATGCCTTACATAATCGTCACAAAATAGCATAAATTTATTGTGTTTACAATAGTCACCCTTTTGTAAAAGACTAGAGAATATTTCATAAATTTATATGTACTTGCCATTTTAAAAACAACTATTACTTCTATTTCAATAGAAAATGCATTTCTCTGCACCTATTATAAGCTCATT